GCTCACCCTTGGTTAAAGTATGTGCTAATTTTACAATGTTTCTTCTGTTGTTGTAAATGTTAAAAGGTTAAATGTTAAATGTTAACATGTTAAAACATTTTAAAAGTTAAGATCAATGCTCGATGAAATTCCACAAGTTTGAAGAAAGCGAAATATGTGATCAAGCTTTTGCTGTTATGCACCGTCAAGGCATCTCTTACTTATGGCAACTGATGTATAGGAATGAAAGCTCTCCAAAATGTCCTGTCCTGTCCAGCTCAGCTCTTATAAACTCATGGCTGTTGTTTCCTTTACAGAATCAATCCATCTCATATTTGGTCTTCCTTTCTTTTTCTGCTTTTGACTTTCCCTGTCATGATTGTCTTCTCCAGTAAATCTTGCCTTTCCATGAAGTGCCCAACGTACAACAGCTTCAGTTTCATCAGTTTTGCTTCCAGGGAAAATTCTGGCTTGATTTGCTGAAGGCTCACTTGTTTGATCAGCTCTCCTCCAGTACCATGATCCAGATTTTCCAATCAATGTTGGTCATTCATGCTTCGAACCAATTTTCTTCCTGTCCAGTTTTTTCACCCATGCATAGTGTTCAGAATACTTTAGAGCAGATTTTGCCCTTGACCTCAAGTGAAACTTCCTCATGCTAGATGATCTTTTCTAGCTCCTTCACTGCTGCCCTTCCCAGCCTCAGTCTTCTTGTAATGTCTTGGCCGCAGTCTCCCTTTGAATTGTTGATAAAGCCAAGGTATGCAAACTCTTTCACACTTTCAATTTCTTCATTGCTGACTTTAAAGTTGCATAATACTTCTGTAGCCAGGATTGTCTTAATGTTCAGCTGTGCTCCTGCTTGTGCACTTTCTTCTTTCCCATCCATCAGGAGTCATTTCAATTCGTCACTGCTTTCTGTCAGTAACATGGTATCATCAGTATATCTTAAATTATTGATGGGTCTTCTGCCAATTTTCACTCCTCCTTCCTGTGATTCTAATCCAGTTTACCTCATGATATGCTCTGTGGACAGTCTGGAAAGATAGGGAGTTAAAACACACCTTTGTCTACTATCTTGGCCAATAGGAAAATATGCAATTTCACCTTACTCTGTCCTAACAGGAGCTTCTTGTTCGGAATACAGAATAAGCATCAGGATGATCAAATGCTGAAGCACACCCATTTTTTCCAGGAATGTTCATAGCTTCTCAGGAGCCACACAGTCCAAGGCTCTGCTGTTTTATAAAGCACAGACTGATATTCCGAAATTCTTTGATATGCTAAAATGATAACAGTACAAAGATGAACAATGCCATCCCATCTTCAGACACTCAGAATAAAACAAAGGCAAAACATGGTATTTCGATGCATTTTCCTAGCATCATAAGATGTTTTCAGTATGCAGTTCTCTCATGGGACCAGACTTTTGGTAATGGAACTGAACATCTGTAATGCAGTAACTGAATCTTTAATGCAGATAACACTGAACCAGGTCAGTAGTTGTGAACATTCATCTCGGCAGAGCAGTGCAATAAAATGTGGTGCAGCTTAACTGGGTGGCCTAGAAGTGGGTCATACAGTGCCGGACAATCTCACCCTCCTCTGCACAAAAGAGATTATAGAAACCACTTACACAGAAACAATATAGGAACAGCTGGACCTCAAAAACACTTCTACAGCTGTTCTAAGAGCAGCGGGGCTGAGTGGGTGTGTGCATCTGTGTGTGTGAGAGAGAAAGAGAGGGGGACTTCAGACTAAGAAATGGTACCCCGCACCATGGCTCTCCCGATCAACTGCGCACCCTCCCTTGTCCACAGCATGAAATAAGAAAACTCCTAAGAGCTCCAAGCGAGGGACTTGGGACTCGTCCCTTTTCACTCTCTCACAGTTCTGCCCCTAGTGTGCTGCCGAGGACAATCTTTTTCAAGAACTCTCTGGTGTGCGCAGCCCCGATTAGGATCAGGACTGCCACACTGGGAGGGGCAATCATTGACTTGTGTTTGGGCCGGGCAAGGACATGATGGCCCCCAAGGGCCTTCTCGGGCACCGCATAGCACTGTGCTCCTTGGCGTGCTGGAGAGCTGCTGTCAATGACACCCACTGGGTGTCGCCTAGAGCACACGTGGCATAAAGCGCCAAGTGGAGGCGACCACGCCTGCGCTAGAGCTCATAGTCGTGCCCACGGCGAGGTGGTGCACCCCCGAGGGGAGCGTCTTCGTGTCACCTGGCAGCGAACGCCGCCCTTTGCAGACAAAATGCTTGTCTCCACAGCATGCCTGCCACTTTCAGCACTGGTCTGGGCCGGATCTGATGCCACCATCTGCCTGATTTGGTGGGATCAGCTGCAGTTACTGCAGCCTGATGATGTGGTCACAGTGCTTACAGCAATGTAACAATCATGCTCCTCTTACGCTTTGGTTCTCCTGGCCTTGGGATCAGTCATTTGGGGATTTGGAGCCAACGATCATTAATATGCTGATGACCCAAGAGCTCTGTGTCCCTGTGATATCTGAATCAGGAGAGCCATGCAAGTGCTTGGACACAGGCATGGGCTGGAGAACTGCAGTGGAATCCTGGCAAGACAGAAGCCCTTTGGGTGAGTGTTTCCCAAGTGGGGAGGTGGTGCCCCCCCCCGAGGGGAACTTCTTCATGTCACCTGGCAGCGAACACTGCCCTTTGCAGACAAAATGCTTGTCTCCACAGCATGCCTGCCACTTTCAGCACTGGTCCAGGAAGGCGTCTGATGCCACTATCTGCCTGGATTGCTCTATTTCTTTGGAGCTTTCTTTCTTCCTCCCGAGGTCAGGCAAACACCAACAGTGTGTTGTTTTTGGTGCCTCCTAAAAACATTCATTTCAGTAAGCTTTCCTGAATGAACCTGCCATAGTTTTTACTTTTTTATCTTTTTGTTTTATTACTTTTTGTTTGTTTTATTGTTTCTCTTCTGCAGAAGTGCCATACTAGTGTATGGAACACTATATATATGTTGTAACTAAATAAACAAACCATAAGTGACTCAATAAACAGTTCGACTGGCAAGAGAGGAAGATTTTGAAGGAATCTGTTCCTGGTGATATTTAAGCATGCAGCACCAATTTACCTGTGCACACAACAAGATGGTTCATTTTATTTCTTTTTGTGGCCATGTGTCTCATTTCCCCTCCCTTTCCAGCCCTACATTTTATTTCCCCTCTCACCTGGGTTGTCAGTTGTTTCCCTGATAGGCAATAAACCTTTGGTGCTGTTGAGTTTCCCCTTACTTTTTCCCCACCATTTTCTTTTTGAGCATCTGCAAAGTTCAGATCTGCTAATAGTACCTCCCTTGGTGTAGGTGGAGCCCCTTTAGTTACAGTTCCATGATTATGGGTAGACTTGAACTGAAAATAGAAAGAATGAAATACTGCCTCTAAACTGCATAGAAAAAAGAAAAATGTGCCAAAGCAGGACTTCAGCTGAACATCAAGAAAACAAAAATCATGATTACAGAAGAATTACAGAACCTCAGAAATTCTAATGGTGAAACTTTTTGTACGCCTCAGCTCAGTCCTCAATTCTAAGTGAGATTGCAGTCAAGAAATTTGAAGGAGACTGAGACTTGGAAGGGCAGCAAAGAAGGAACTAGAAAAGATAATCAAACGTAAAGAAGGATGTTTCACTGAAGACCAAGGCCAAGATCATTCACACCAGTATATTTCTGATCACTGAGTATGGGGGTGAAAGCTGGACAGTAAAGAAAGCTGACGGGAAGAAAATTGATGCCTTTGAGACATGGTGCTGGAGGACAGCGATGCAAATGGCACTGACATAAAGGTGAACACGTGGGCCCTAGAGCAAATCAGATAGGACATTATGAAGGGCTTTCATTCATTTCAGTGTGATGGCACAAAACAACAGCAAACCCCATAGACTCCATGCAGCAGCCTTTTTCAACCCAAGTGCTTTCTGGATGTGTTGAACTAGTCCCAGCATTCCCCATCCAGCTATACTAGAAATCATGCAATTCTCTACATTTTAGAGAGAAGTACTAATAAATCTACTATGAAGAAAAGCCAGAAAACTAACAGTATTGAAGACAAGATGCTTTTTCAGTTTCCTTCCCTCTTTCCCCTTTTATTCTCACTCATTAGAGAAGCTGTTTGTGAGAATTTATTCTATTCTGCACACCCTCCATGGCTCTCTGTGGCATATGATATTCTTCCCATGTTATCCTCAAAACAACCTTATGAGGTGGGTTACACTGACAGAAGATAACTGATCCAAATTATTCAGGGTGAACCTCATGACTTGGCGAAGACTTCTGCTTCACCAAAGACTACATCAGCTGATAAAGGTGGGCAATAACACTTCTGAATTATTCTCTTTGTCAAAACCTTCCTGCAAACAGGAAACCAGTGACTCTGGCAACGGGTTGGGATAGATTCTCTGCTCCTTATATGCTAAATTTCCACTTGCAAAGAAAGTTGTTTCTTATATAGGGGAGCACTCAAGCTCGGAAAATCTCTCTCTTCCTCTGAATTCTGGAATGCTATGGTCAATTTCACCCTCTCAGTCTTCCGCCCTGTAGCCCAAATCTTATTGCAATGCTCTATTCCCGCCATCTAGTCCGTGCATTGTTGACTTAAAGACAGCCTAATTCAGTCAGCCACATGACATCATTGCCACCCCTGCTTGCTTTCGGTTAGTCCTCGAGCGGAGAACCCCAAGCTCCACCCCCTGGATTCTTGGCCACACCCCAGGGGTTCTTCTTTCCCCACTTTATCACTCCATCTTCATCTTGGCCAATCATCCCGCAACCCTCCTTCTTCCTTCATCCAACAGCCAATGAGGAATGGCCGTTTGTTATCCGTTTGGCAAATGACCCTAACGAAGAGGAGGGGTTGAATGGGAGCACGCGAGATTTGTGGGCGTGGCTTAATTTGCGCTTCTCTTTGAGCCAAAAAGAGGCGGGGGAAAAAGAAGCTGACTTCGAGAAAGAGCCTATTGGCTACTGTGGGGATGCCGGCTGAGGTCTGATTGGCTGTTGAGATGAGCTGCTCGACCTGGTGAGGACCGGAGAAGGAACAGAAAGCGGACTTGGGAGACAGGTAGAAGCGTGGCGTGGGGCGGTTTGTGGCCGAAGGGGAGCCCGCGACGCCCCGGATCCTGGTGAGTGGCGGGGCTTTGTGCGGCGGCATCCTCGTTGCGGGATCGGGATGGAGGCAGGTGCGCCGAGGGAGGCCGCGGGCTTCAGTGATGTCTGGCCTCGGGGGGAGTTCACGCGTCAGCCTCGCAGCGCTCTCAAACCGCTCGTTGGCAGCGTCGAGGGACCGCGGCTTACGCGGACGTGGCCATCCCGAAGGCCGTTTGGGCCGAAGCGGGTTTCAGGGTCGCCCCGCGAAGCCCGATGGAAGTGCGAATCCGTGTAAGCGTCACGTGTGAAAACGTGCTGTCACGTGTGAAAATGGAACCTGGTGTTATAGAAACCGGAATCCTATTCTCTTGTACGTTTACAACTGAAAGACTTGGGATCATTGAACGCCTCAGTCAGCCTGATAGCACGTCATTTATTTATGAGTTAGTTGGTAGCCTATTCTTCCTCTAAAGAGCTCATGGGTGGCGATCATAAGAGATTATTCCTTCGCCTCCATTTTATGCTCACAACAATTCTATGAGGTAAGTTAGGAAGATTGTAGTGACTGACCTAGAGCCACTCAAGGAGCTTCCAGGCAGAGGGTTTCTGGGTGTAAGAATCTGGAAAGCAGTTTGAGGCAATTCAAGCTTTTTTCCTTCACAGATTTTATTTATTTTTATTAAATTACAAAGCTCTTTTGTGCATAGTTCCCAAAAACAAACAAGCTCCCTCACCTTAAATTGCAGCATGATCCATAAAACCCATACGACCCATATCAAGCCCATAAAACATAAGAACAAAAATAACTGCCAGCTTTTCCTCTGAATGTAGTCAGAGGAAAAGCTGGCAGTTATCCAACACATGGCTTAATTTTTGTTTCTGGTTATTGTTCAAGGGTCAGGCCCAGCTTACCCAATCTAGTGCTTTCTAGAAGTATCAGACCACAATTGCTACCATCCTCAGGCCATATGCTGTAGATTAACACATCTGGAAACATCAAATTAGGAAATGCTGGTCCGGATGATCCCGGTTGAAAGAATACTGGGCTCTCATCTGCCAGTCCTCCTTGTCCACTTGCTTCCTTTTGTAGTCTCTTGGTCTTCTTTGCCTGTTTTTGCTAATCTGATCTAATGTCAACATGATTCTATGCTGGCACAAGCCATGCAGTCCCTCTGATCTGCACTTGCTTAGTGGCATATCAGGTTGAACCAATGCAATAGTTTAAGGATTAGCTTTGAAAATCTTACCACCTACACATTAACCATTTTCAACCTCTTTGAAGCTGAACCATCTTTACTAGCCTAGTACACTATAGCCTAGGAGTGGATTCTATTGTTAGTGGAGATAATTTGATGTTCAGATTCTTTCTTGCAACATTTGCAACTTGTATTTACAATTCTTTAATTGCTGATGTAAGTCCTTACAATAAGGACTTACATTTGCTCTGATGAGCCAAAGGCTTGACACTTCTTTCTCGGGAACTTTTAGGACTAGTTGAAGTAGATTATAACATGTCAGATGTTAATCCTGAACAAGAAACTGAGAAAAAGGAATATATGTACTTCCCATTTTGTGATTTTTACATTGTTTTTATTTTCTCAGAAAACGAAAGAAAATGGAAGACTCTCCTGATGTAGTTTCTCTGGCTACAAAGCTAAAAAATACAGTCGTTCAGTACTACAACACTGATGATGGAGAATGGAGAATTGCTAAGAAAACAGTAAGTTACTGAGCCATGGCTGTTGCAGATTCTTTTGTTTTGGTAACACACTGGTTTCTGTTACACCTTGGAGTACTAGCTGAAAATATTTGATGTGATGGTATTTGAAGAATAGAATGGGGGTGATTCCTAGTCTCCCCACATATATCTCCCCACATATAGTGAAACATTAAAGCAAAAAGGGGAGTATGATATATACACTTTAGGAAATGTGCCCTTGTTACCACCAATTGTTATTTAACTGGCTGAAAATGGAGGCCTGCTGCTCACAGAAGTATAAATATTCTTTTTCCTGTTTTGCAGTAACCCAGCAATCTAAATTTATCCCATTCTATCAAGTTAATTCACATTTAATCTAATCCCTCTAAACCCAAGTATTTGCATCACTTGAGTTGTGGAGCTCACAGAGCTGTGATACCTTCTTGATGATATGTGATGCTTGAAGGTGTTGCTGTTGATAATGCCCTGCCCTATGTCTATAGTGGGCAGGTTTTTCTTCTGTTT